CTTGCACGCATCTTCGACCATCTGCCCCGTTACAAGGCAGTGGCTAGGTTCAAGGTGGACTCGCTTCTCGAGGATTGCCTTCATGGTAGCGGGGGATGGGGATTTCTCTTCAGCCTCGGGATGCTGCTGGATCAGGGCAAGTGCAGCCTGGCGCTGTGAATAATTATGTGTCACGCTTTTGTGTTTGTATGTCCGTGCTTTCATGCACGAACGTGAGTTAACTTCACCATTCAGGTGGTGATGTGAATGACAAGGGTGAGATTGATGCGGAAGATCAACGGATTGGCAAGGTCCTCGTCAACGAGTTCCGGCAGTTCAAAGATGTTCGCACAGTCGTCTGGAATGAGCAGACTGGTCGGATTGCCAAGAAAGCATTGCCAGAAATCCTCGCAGACTTTCGTCATGTGGTAGCTTTCCTGACTAAAGGAAATCTTTCGTTGCTTTGTTTACTGCTGCCGTTGCGGCTGTGCGCAAATATGAAAGGTCAAATACCCACCCGAAGTGGCTCCAATCCCTCATGCTCTTCGAGCAGGGTTCGAAGCCTTCGACAAGGCCGGAACCAGCGAAATCATCCCTTTCCTGTAAACTGCACATGATTCCAGACAGAACAGGCCTACAAGAAGATCATCAATCTCTGGACAGATGGATGTCTTGACATCGGCCATCTCGCAGCCAGCACGATTGACACGGCCGCAAAGGTATCTCCGCCATCGTCCAAGGACTGGAGCCAATCGCTTCGCGATGAGCTTCCGTTGCTTTTGGCAAGTGCGAGGCTCTCAGTCTGCAGGTAGCCAAGGTCAAGGCCCTCCCTCGTGATTAGTCGTGCCGGGCTGCCTATCTTAACCGACGAACCTGAGGTCTCTGCCTGCTTCACAATTTGCAAGTCTGGAGAGAGCTTCAAGCGTTTCGAAAGCGAAAGCAGCGGTGCCTGCGCAGAGTCACTTCTGCAAGATCCCAGCCAGTTGCTCAAAAAGCCTCATGTGGTTCAGGTACTGGCTTGCCTGCGGCTTTTGTCGTACGACGCAGCGAACCCTACACTCACTAGCCATCTCATGCAGATCCGCACTGGCGAGGGCAAGTCCATCATTCTTGGGTTCTGCTCTGTCATTTGCGCCCTCCTGGGATTCAAAGTCAGATGCGTCTGTTACTCAGAGTACCTGAGCAAGCGAGACTACGAAGACTTCCTGCAGCTGTTCAAGGTTTTCAAGGTTGAGGACAGGATCGGCTACAGCAAGATCACCTGTTTCAGTGAAGACCGAGCGCTTGCCAAGTGCGACATCCGCGATTTTACAGCGCGGATGCTGCGCAACAAAGTAATAGCAAGCAAAGCATCAGCTGCCTTAGGGACTGCCGTCAAGAAAGGCAAGGTGGGCTCTTCCCGGCCCGATGCAGGGAAGGCACAAGTTGCCGCGAAGAGACACCAATCCTTGGTGCAGCCGAAGATGAAGCAAAAGTCGTCGAGCAAGAAGAAGCCGCTGAAGAAGGGAGGATCAGCCAACGGACCCACGGCCGAAGCACAACAAGAGAAGCAAGCCAAAGAAGAGGCAGCCGGAACAGTTCATGTAGCTGGCCATCAGTCAGACAACATCTCTGTTTATCAGCATAAATAAGTTCACCGATTTCGCCAACCACTCAAATTTTGTTCAACAGCGCTGTTCATCGTGCGCATGTCGTAGCAGTTCATACCGCAGGCAGCCGAAGACATCGACATTCCTGGTTCAAAGCCGGCGACAGAGGGGATGAAGAAGAGGATGCTAGCTGCACTGAGCAAGAGTGATGCAGCTGAGCCTGTGTCACAGGCGCTTTGCATGGCATCACCTTCCACTTCAGTTGCTGTTGAAGCCAGTAGCCACGAGGTGGCTCCTTTAAACGGTGAGGATTTACTGCTCGTGGACGAGGTGGACGTCTTCTTCGGGCAGGAGTTCTACGGTCAGACGTACAATCAAGTCTGCGAGCTATCGCTGCCAGAGATTCGAGATGTCCTCTTCCACATCTGGGAGCAGCGCTCGATGGTAGACAAAGCCAAGGACTTGCTGCAGGTTGTGCAGACGAGCAAGCAGTTTGCAGCGCTGAAAGAAGCTTTACCGGGCTGGGAGTTTATTGTTGAGACCGAGGTGAGCTGCATGTGCCAGGCTCTGAAGCGGCTCATGAAAGATGATCTTGGCCCTTGCCACAAGCCACACTACAGCAGCAGCCGCAACCGAATCGGCTACAAAATTATGGACTCGTTGGACTATGCTGTCGGCTACGGCTACATCACTGCCTTTCAGTACCTTCAGCTGGCAGAAAAGAAGGAGCTTCGCGACGAGGAAGAGGCTCTGCAGCATGCACTCAGATTTCAAGTCGCGTGCGGCTGTCTCTCCTACGCAAACTTCGGAAAGCCAACAATCTTGGGTGTCTCAGGGACTGTTGCCGCTCTCGGAAGCTTTGAATGGGAGGTTCTGCACGGATATGGCCTGAACTCCTATACGGATATGCCGTCAGTCTACGGGCAGACAAACCTGAGATTTGTTGAGAATCAGCGTGCACATGATGATCCCATACTTGTGTGCTCCAAGAAAGAGCACTTCTTGACCATTGCAGACGCAACCAAGAAGAAGATCGACGTTGGCCGAGCTGTTATCGTGTTCTTTGCTGACACGGCAAGCCTGCATGAGTTTGAGGAAAGCCATCATTGTTCAAGCCTGAAGAACAAGAATTTCCTGCGCGAAACCCAGTCCCATGCAGACAAAGACCATGTCATCAAGAAGGCCGCGACCTCGGGTCAAATCACTCTGAGCACATCTGTGTTCGGCAGAGGGACGGACTTCTTTTGCAATGACCAAAAGCTGATAGAGGCTGGCGGCGTGCATGTTATTCAAACATTTCTGTCCATTGATACGTCTGAAGAGCTTCAGATCATGGGGAGAACTGCTCGGCAAGGCCAAGACGGATCTTACTCTCTCATCCTAGCCAAGGAGGACCTTGAGGGCATGGGAGTCGCAGAAGACATGGCCGTGGCACCCGTGCAACGGTACAAGCTCTTGAGAGATGCCCGCGTCCGTGTTCAGAAAGACATTCAGGATCGTGTGTCCAAGAGTCTCGCGGATGCCTCCGAGGTTGATGAGATGACCCACACGTACCTTGATGCGGCTGCTTCCGGTGAGCTTGCCACAGCCCGAGAAACCTTTACGAGCTTGTACAAGCACGTTGCCAAACGAAAGCCAGGAGCGGCAGGGCATGCGCACATGTTCACATTGCCTGCAACTGCAAAGCTGATTCTGCCACTGAGAAGATCCACAATGCTGCATAGCGCGCCATTTTGCAGTCTGCTCATGTCGTCTATCAGTGTCAGACCCTGCAGGTCTGAGCCATGCTCGGCTCATGTGCCTCTCAGATGCAACAGGCTCCATGAGCGGCCTTTGGGGTGCCACACTCTCCGGCATCAACACCATGTTCGAGCGGGTCAAGGAGATCGGCGGAGACAACTTCGAGTTCAAGTGGGTCGCATACAGAGACTACAGCGATCCCAACCTGATTGACATCTCACCGTGGACAAGCAAAGCCTCGGAGATGCAGAGCTTCGTTAAGGGAATCGTATGTAGTGGAGGCGGAGATGCTGAGGAAGCAGTTGAACGGGCCATGCTTGAGGCTCGAGGAGAGCATGATAAGCATCCTCTTTCGCGAGTGCTGCTGATTGCGGATGCGCCACCGCACTTCGAGAAGAAGGGTCAAAAGCTCACATACCACAACCACGTCTTGGCCACGGACTACATGACCGAGGCCGAGGAGCTGAGATTACGAGAAGTGCCAGTCTATTGCTTCACCGCTTCTCGGCAGTCTTGATGCTGCTTCCTTTGCATGGGTTTTTGTTGCACGGCAGCTTCAGCCAAGGTTGGTCGAGCCCAGCCATTGCCTCAGTTTGACTCAATATCGAGCGTTACAGGAGGCGAGTCTTCTCTGCTGACGCCTGAAAATCTGGTCGATACCGTTTGCACTAGTGCGCTCATGGACATCGGTGGCCAGGAATTGGTTGCGCAGTACCGAGCCCGCTATGGATAGGCGGACGCCTCTTGTGTACATGCAGCACCACCTCTCTGCAGTTTCCGCTCACACACCGAAGATGTGCGATGCAGACGTTTTCAAATCCGATACGAGAGCAAGTGGAGAACAGATGTTCCTCAATCCTTCTATGCAAGACCTGACTGAGTCACAGCTAAGTCCTGCACCTTCACAATTTTGCAGCATCAATAGCGTTTTCCTGTTGCTTTCTTTCGAAACTGAGTGCAGTTTCTGTTTCACACAGGATGCAACTGATGCCAACTGGAGAGGTCTCGAATCCATGAGGGATTAAGCCATAGCTGCAGTATGTCATAGCAGGGTCCTGAACCTATACGGTTTCAGTAGGCTCGAGAAAATCTTCGGTTGTGTTGTCTCGCCCAAGGGGTTACAATCCAAGGCCCACGATTGCGGGGATCAGCAACCGAGGAGCTTGGAGAAAAGAAGTGTGCAGGTGGAACAGGTGGCCGAGGGGACTGTGTCAGAGCTTTGCATGTCCTGATCGTGATCAGCGACTGTTGGCTAGCAGTATGTGCGCAGTACCCAGCTAACAGCGCAGCAGTTGTTGCTTGTTTGCAGGCCGTCTTCAACGGGTGCACGCCACTTGAAAAGAAGCGAGCGCGTGTACACAAGAGCTAGAACATGCTCGAACACGAATTTCCCAAACCAAACCTCTCACTACATTTGTCATGAATCCTTGCCTGGCTCTACCGAAACCCGAAAGACCGGTCCGCAAGACACGATACCTGTCGCGGAGTCGTTGGTCCTCGGAGCAGCTTCAGGGTTCGGGGTAAACCCACGTGAACCCGCAACCGCCCGAAGCAGGTCACATCTGCTCAGGCATAGTCTGGTTTCTTATATGGTACTTTGGTTTTGAGTCATATAGCCACGTAGGCTTGTTATAGACTGGCACCACTCAAGACGCCATACGTCCTTCGGAGAGACTGTAGAATTCGGCGCAGGCTACACATCTTGCGCTGCGTGTGCGGCGGAGCAGAGCGACTCCCCTGCGCAAGCCTTCGGGCACTTGCAGCTGTGGGCGGCTGAGGAGTCGTCATCAAGGGCCGGGCCTGCAGGGACAGGGCGATCGAAGGCGGCTCGCGGTTCTCAAACCTCTGAGAACTGGGTCTTTTTTGCAGGCTCCACCGGCCAGCATGGATGCTGAGGTTTCCAAGGGCTGGCACGAGCTGAGCCTTTATCCGGAGCCACTCAGCGGATTGATGGAGGGGGGGCCATTGATTTAGACTCCAGCGGGTTTGGCAAGCAAAGCTAGAATGCAGGTGCAGGATATGTTTTCTGCATGAGCTTCCTTTGTGTTCGACTCGCAGCCGCCCTGGTTACTGGATGTTGCAGGGCAACAGACGGTCGAGACTGGGTTTGTTTAGGACAGGTTCTGAGAGTTCAGGTGCCATTTCTTGCGCGCAAAGATTCCCAGTCGCCTTGCGCCTCGCACATTCGACAAGTTGTCTAAGCATCAAGCTTTCGGAATCACACCGCCTGAAGGGATGTTCAGAGCAGCTGAACTGCTCGTGGCCTGGAAGATGGCCCAATGACAGCCATGGCTCGGTGTACCAGGATGGCCTGTATGGTCGGAGCACTCGCGTCCGTGTCACTTCTGCTGATGATTTTGCAAGCTGATTTCGTACACAGGGAGCCGAGGTCGAGGTCAAGCTCCGATCTGCTTTCAGTGCTACAGAGACTCGAGCGACAGCTCATCCGTTTGGAACACATATCAGAGAAAGTCCTACTGGAGTCTTTGGCAAGTAGCGGTGGCTTGGGCTTGAGTGGCCCCTGGTTGGCTCCAAGTCTTGTAGCTCAGGTGGAGCAGAAATCAGAAGAGGTATATTGGCATCGAAGGTCGAAGCTGGACGGTTTGCCCAATTCTGATTTCAAAGGTCTCGAGCCCAGTTGGCCATGTCTGTGGGGCAAGGAGCATGTCGCGGTTTCAGACGGAGGAAACAAGTGGGCGTGTGGTACCCGTCTTCTTCGAATACCCTGCGTTGTGTACTCCTTCAGTTTGGGCCGCACCGACTTTTGGAAAGGGGCGAGCAAGCTGACGAAAGCATGCGAACTGCATATCCATGGCCCCGCATCGGGTGAGACACGGCGCCCCAAGGACCTGCATGTCCACTTTCACAATTTGAGTCTTGGTAGTTACGATGGCAGCTTTAAGCTTGGACCTGGCAATCCACAGAACCTGACTCGCCTCGAGGGAATGCCTGTGAAAACTCTGAGTACAATCATGCGGGAACATGGGCACAGCCATATCGATGCCTTGAACCTGGACATCGAGGGCCTCGAATATGAGGTGATCTCAAGCCTCAACGCGTCGGGCTGGCCTTCAATAGGCCAGATGATGATAGACGTTCATGCGCACCAAGGAGAGAGCTACAGAGAACGGCTGTCGACGTTGGTGGATCAAGTTGAGTCTGCTGGCTTCAGGTTGTTTCATAGAGAAATCAACATCTGTGCACCACATGCTTGCGTAGGATATGCGTTCATCCAGCGAGGGTGGAGGCCAGAGATCATGGATTACAGCAACGCCTAGACATCACGCGAGGACCTCCATCTCAATTACTAGGAGGCATGTGGTTGGCTCGTGCCTGCGGTTATGCCACGAATAAGTCTGGAACAAGAGCCGACGTGCAGGAAAAGCTGTGCACGTCAAGCCACAATAGCTACAAGCCCGGCAGCCGCCGAAACAGCTCTGGGCTCTGGGACCCGCACATGAGATGCACCAGGCAATAGACACGGAGGCAAGGAGAAGTGCCAGGTAGCCAAGCACGGGGACTGACGCGGCCCAAAGATGGCAAGCATCACCCGGCTTACCGATCTGATGTTTGTTGGGAAAGAGGAGCGTGGAAGCTGCTGTAGCCGGAAAATCAACAACCTCTGGCATGTGGTTTGGTTTGTTCCGTGTACACCACCTGTCTGTGACAGCTCATGGGAACAAGCCGCTAGTTTGTGTGCCCACACCCAGTCCTCGCACTTTCTGCGCAACGATTAGGATCTTGCCCTTCGCACGGCAGCTGCGGTGCCGGTTGCTGACGTCGCAAAATGTGTGCAACCACCTCTGCAAGAGCTTTGGCATGCGGGTTGGCAGAACTGGTTCATTGCCGTCACCTCCGATCCCTGATCCGGGCTCATGAACTGCACAACTGCTCCTACTCAGTAGCAAATTTTCGCTGCCCCGCCCAGAGGCCCAGAGCATGTCCGTTAGTGTCTTGTGCGCTATGAAGCACCACTCTCCATTCACACCTGCTGGTCCCAGTTGACAGAAAAGCAACAAAGAGCAAAAGGAGAATGTATACTCCTCAGCACAGGTATCCGAAAAGTCGTGCTCCATGAAACTCTGTTATGGATGCAGGTGGCCCTCCTCCAAAAATCACACAATCACTGTGGGTGAGGCCTCCAACCCGGAAGGGCAGTCCCAGCCCCGAAAGCAGCCCAGGCAAGAGGTCAGGAGAGGTGTGGCCACCTGGTGAAGGCATGGAGGTGTCCCTCAGCTAAACTTGGGCTTACGTCGGACTACGAGGTGTTGGTTTTTACCTCTATATACTTTGTCAGCAGTCGCGGCAGTTCTACGAGCACTGTTTCACATCTTGAAGGTTTTTCCTAATTCGAGCTTACACTTCTAGCCGTCGCAACACTATTTCGCACTACAGCACTCCTAGACAGACGAGTTTCCTGCGGACCTTGATCATCCCGTCAAAATCTTCCCCATGCGAAGGCACCGGACTGGGGCCTCTCAACCACTGGGCGCGACCTGGCTTTCATGAGCTTTTCGATGTCCTACGCTGTGTTGTGCTCCCTTTTTGGTGACACCTGTCGATCACTGAACCGTTTCTCCCAGGACCACGATATGCTTGTCCGATTCTTCCATGCCTGCCTGCACCGGGACCGATGGAGGGTTCAGCCCGCAGTGTTGATCCGGAGTCCATGAAAGGAGCCCGTGACCTTTAGATTCAGGGATTTCGGTGAAGCCGTGATCCACGGGCCGTTCAGAAGATGGAGATTCCGGAAGTTTGAACGCATGCAGTTTCAAGAGGTTCCCAGAACGCATGCAATGTTGAAAGGCCGATGTTCACAAATGTTGGCAGTTGGCAGTTTGACAACTGGCGCCTGGACCTTGAGTATTCTGGAAGGCCTCAAGCAGGATGTTCAGCTTACAGGAAACAAGATTAGGGCAAACGCATGCTGTCTTGATGCGTCTGCCATCGTAGGATTTTTGGGAAGCACGGCAGCTGCGACGGCAGTTGGATGAGGCAAGCCTCTTGGGCTGCTTGGGTCTTCGATGCTGCTTTGAGGAGCTGAACTAGCAGGACTCGAGACCAGACGAAGCTGTGGAATTCCCTGCATCTCGAGGTTTCTCCTAGGGCAGTGTCTACTCGCAGGATGTTTGCTGTGTGCAGGCCAGAACCGTTGACGCCCTGGTTGAGTGCCTCGGCATTTGCTACATGCCGTGATGGGGGCAGAGCATCCCGAAGCTGCACTTCCCTGCAAAGCGCGGTGTCTCTATGGTCATGACAGAAACTTGTAACACCATGTGTGTCTCCCGGTCTCACTGTGCTTTCGGCATGCTGGCCGATGCAAAAGCAAGCGAGGGATGCGAGGGTGGGTTCTCGTTTGTAACGTCTGTAAGGGCTTTAGTTATTATTGAACATCCCAGCTAAAAAAAACGTTCTTCACAACAGTCGCCATGGAGCAACTCCACCATTGCCGTGTGCTCTTCGTGCGAGGCTCCTCTCCGAATTCCGCAGCGCGCACTTTGCAAGACCTGCCGGCCCTGGCGATGCACCACCACCTGCTATCCGGCATTATCAATTACTGTAGTGCTTCAGAGAGCAGAAATCGGACAAGGACTTGACAAGTGGGAAGCCTACGAAAGAAGCTGCCCAAGTTTTTTCGCTCCGGCAACACTCTTCCTATCTGAAGTCCTTGTGTGCAGTTCCCTCAGTCAGGCGCCTGCTCAAACTGAAACTGATGCGGCCTCATTCAGCTGTCGACATCCGCCGCGTACTAGTGAGCAACAAAACGGAGCCATCAGAGGTGTGGTGCTCCGCCGCTGCAGTACTTCCCGGCGGCCGCCTTTCTGTAGTGGGCGGTGGCTGCTACAGCGCCGTGGCTTCGGAGAGCCGGTGCGTTTGCACATCACAGATAAGCCTTTGCACTTGAGGGCATGTGAGGCAGGTTGGGGGCTGGTTGCATCCGACGCAATTCTCTTGATCGTTGGCAGTGCATTTACCAACACCAGTGCCGCCAAAGCCTCTACATAGCCGAAGATCAGCTGATCGGAATGTGCATGCCTGCACGTTAACGTGTTCCTTGAATCTGACATGGCATGATGAGACATGGTTCACCCATGCCGCCTGTGCCTCCCTGTTCTTTTTTGAGACTGCAGGCTACGAGCTGGCAAACGCTCAGACGCGGATGGTGGATACTCGCTGAGAATTGCAAGAGCAAATCGGACATGCGCCATGTATATGCACGCTGCCCCCAAGCCCTATGCTGCGCCACACTCTTGAAGTGAGAACCGCGACACCTTTGCAGTGATCGGAGCATTTATGATACTTGTTCTTTCCGCGGGAGAGGATACAGGATGCTCAAGAAGGTTGAACCGTTGGAAGCTCATTTTGCCTGCATCCTTGCGATAAGGAAGTGCTTTGGAATCAGCCACATGTCTACATCTTTGACATCGCACAGCGGAGCTGGTCTCGTCAGCCCACGCAAGGCTTTTGGGAATTTGAGATACATCAAATGGGATTATACTACAGCGGACATTATGAACCCAAGAACCCTATTTCAATGATTAGGATGATTAGCCCAACAAGCTGATACTTGTATTTCAGACCTTCTGTCCCCCCCGGAAGTCTACGAAAGTTTGACGTCAGAAGCCCCGACTTGCCCGGCCTCTAAAACTGCCGTGCAGGCACACCGCCGCCCATCGCCCACACTTATGCAGCTGCTCACACATTGCTGGGCGACAAGTGGGTATTCTGGTGTGGTGGGTACTATGGCCAGGCCAGCAATCCAGGAATCCCAGTGCAAGCCATCATGCTGACTCGCTGATTCAACCCGGCGTTTCGAGAGTGTTCTGATTGCGGAGGCCTTGAGATTCAGTATGAATCCTGGAGGGGTTGATAGTTAAGTATGAAGCATCGTCATCCGTGGTGTTTCGGAAGGGGCAGGATGCCCAAGTACCAAGCTCCGTCTCTCCTCGCGGACATGATGCCAGCACACAGTTCCGCATCCTGCCATGCTTGTATGTTCACGAAAAAGCCCAGTGAACCCCTCTGAACAATAAGCGACCGTTCAACTGAAGCAGAGACACAACCCTCCCTCAAAATCAGGCTCATGGTTCCAGATGCATATCAGACCGGAAGAATAGACGGAGGTGTGTGGCGAGTTGCTTGCCAGCGTAAGCGCTCCAAAGAGTATCCAGAAAACGTGCTTCGTCTCTGAACCCTGAATTCATAGACGTGTGGTCGAGGCTCCATACCTTTCTGAAACTGCAGTAGGCCTACAACACGGCCTATAGCCTGGATGTGCAGACATGGACTTGGAGAGGTTTGCGGAACAGCAGCTTGGACAAAACAACTTACCGGTTAGTCATCAGCACGCCCGAGTTCATTGCATTTCCACCAAAATTTTCTGCTGTCTCGGAAAGATTTCTTAGCTGCGCGCAGCACCTTGCAGAGCTTGCTGGTCCATTCCGATGTCTCGCGATGCCAGTGACCACCAAATATCGAAAGCCCGATCTTGCATCGCATCAAGCATTTCGAAGGTAGGAGATGTCACATGATTCCTGGCATTACTTTGTTTGGGGTGTTCCTGTAAAGGTCATTAGGTCGTCTTTTGATCCGGCTTATGTAAGGTTGTCGGGAAGTTTCTTTCTGTTTGCTCTGTCCTTGTAGCCAAGGTTCGGATCAGGTCCCCACAGCTCGCTACTTCGTGTCCTCCTTTGAGGACGGGGCCTCAGAGCAAGCCTCTTAACTCGGCATGGCATTGCAATTGCGAGTCCCGTCCAAACCTGGCCGAGAAGATCCGCACCCTGCCCAAGTCTGCCTCATTTTACTATGCTACCTGAATGTGTTGATCTAGGCTGAAGGCACATGGTAGCTGTGGCTCCACAAAAACTCGGGAAGGCAAAATTCAAGCCTAGAGACCTCAATGCAGAGGGAATCAAGTGCCCCTGCCAGTTCAACGGCGCGCTGTATGCGTGGGGTGGTCGAAGCTCGCAGTCTCTTGGCTTCTGCGAATTCCGCGACAAGGGTTAATCAAGTTCCGCGGTGGGGCGATACTGCCAAAAGGATGCCTTCCAGCCCTGTCCTGCTTTAAAGCCCGTGACGGCGGATCATGTCAGTTCAGGTTGGAGACGCCAGGCTGAAATGCTAAAATCGCACTGCCATGTCACAATTGAGCTGAAGCACTTCACTGCAGGAACACCTATTGCGACGATCTTTGGCGCCTCGATCGTTCCCGAGCCCATCAGGACCGTCAGTTTTTCTCTCTCAAACACAGCAGTCAGAGCTTGACGGTAGATCTTTTTTTCAGCTTCGTTCTCCTGCCTGCCACAGTGGGCCCTGTCCTGAAGCCTAGGGAGGCTCCTTGAATGCAGGATGTCATTCACACTGATCAAGTCCCGGCAACGGGTAGTCTTCCTCCGGCAAAGTTTGGAGCGCATCTTGGACTGCAAAGGAAACATTCCGTGCGAATGTGGGGTTGGCGGAGTCGGCTGAGTAGTTGCTCTCCAGGCATGACGGATTAGGTTGGTTGACATGAGTATGGATGCAGGTTGGCTCGTACTTACAACCTCATGTTCGGGCAAGCACAATGCAGCCGAGGACACTTACGAACTGTTGCTGGTCTGCATGTTCATGCGCTCCTTTGACTTTGTATTGCAAATGGTGGTAGTGCACGCGTTGATTCCGCTGGCTTTGCTGAGCTTAGTGCGTTGTCTCTAGCCTTTACGTGCTACGAACGATGCATTCCGGAAACAGCTTTTCTTCAACATGTTGCAAAAAATAGGGCCAAACTGTTTCAAAGCCGCAGCCTCGGGCTTCGACCCATCAACACCAACGCAAGTGAGGACAATCGCTAGTGTTTGTTGAGATGTTGTCCTTTCGAACATCTTTTTGGTACAGCATCGTGCATGTTGCGATTATTGTTATTAACTGCATGCTTTCGCCAGATGCTGCTGTGGAGCTGTCAGGTGATGACCGCTTCGCTGTGCTTTTCGGCGGCGGCCAGTGGCAAACTGGGGGCCGCTTTCAGTCGGACCGCAGATCCAGACCCGGGCTTTCTGTCGCAATGAAGTGAGAGTCGGGGCAATACTGCACGGTCTAAGAATCGCAGTAGAATCGCATAAGAGAGACGAAGCATAATTAATTCCAGTGGTACTGGTGGTGGGGCAGCATCAGCACCAGCAGCAGGTGTCCTCCTTCTTGATATTGTTTTTGTTGTGAATAGTTTGCCTTTGTCGCTACGGACAGACTACAAGACTCGGAATAGTCTGTAGCAGCGACAAGAACCTCCATAAGGCTCCTGTAGGAGGGCTGGCGGCCAATGTGGAACACCAGCCCAACTGGCAGGACGCAGACACGTTCTCGCTTGATTTGGAAACTTTTCAGTGGACGAAGCTGGCGACCTACGGCTTGGAGCCGACGCCGCTTGCCAGGCTTTATACAACTTAAGCCCGAGAGGCTCTGGGTGCAAGCTCCTAACTCACCGCAATCTAGCTAACACCCCTTGCTGAGCCTCTCCTCAGCCTTGGCCGCCATGTTGATGCTTTCCTCAACTGGCAGTGTCAAGGACAAAAATCCTGAACCCGAAACGGTAAACTACAGTGACTGCACAGTGTTGTCCCGGAGCCCGAATAAACTAAGTGGTGTTGTTGCGCAAAGCCCGGATGTCGAGATCCTAGTTTGTAGTGACTCTGTGCCTGCTAACTTGGGCAAGTGTCAGTAGTAATTAGCAGCAGGAGCCAGAAAGAATGCCACCCAGGCCCCGTCTACAGCATTCAGCCCTCAACTTGGGGGGGAACCTCGCAACTCGGCCCTAACTCACAGGGTGTTGGATATGGGGATGGGGCGTCGAGGGCTTTGGTGTTAGGGTTTTGCGCCTTGGACCTAGACCTAGACAGCGACTGTCGTTCACATCTTTGTGTTTTAGATTCATTGGATCTGCTCAGCGCCTGTGATTGCTATGGGCTTGTTGCTATTTGTGATCTTTTCTGGCGATCATACATGGTTTCACTGCTTTGGTTTCCTAGTGGCCGGCAAACTCCTCCGGCATTTAGTCTGGAGCAGCCGCGCCACGATGTTTTTCAAGCCTGGTCAATGTAGAAGCGCCGCGGCGTCGGCTCCACCCAGTGTGGGACTAGGGTGTTCGGTGTGTTTTTGGCATGGTCTTTGAGAGTTTGCTTGGGTTTTGTTCGAGTTAGCGCTGTAGGGTAGGAGGGCTTTCCAACATGACTCTTCATATTCCGTTTTGGCTCGGAGATCAATGTTTCAAGCGCTCAGAGTTCAACTTTTGAGACTATCGCGATGTCTGAGCCCACGACTTGGTCACAGTGCCACACCTATATATGGTTGCGCCCCGGTGGGCCCCCCCATCCCCTCCCCCCACCCCCCTCATGGTTCAGATTAAATACAGTTACACAGGCATATCGGTGTATGTTCCCCGCCTGCCTAAGCCCAGTAAGAGTTAGAAGTTCAGCTGTTGGTGAACCCGGAAAATCCAAGCTCCTGAGGTCCTAGTCTTCGGAGGCTATGAACCTCGCCATCGGCGTGCCGTGGCTGTTAAAGCCAGCTCGCAGATCGCAGGCATAGCAGTCTCGTTGAAAAGCACTTGGAATCGACGTCGCTCCAGTCAAAGAGGTCATGTGACTGTCGTGTTACGTAATTATGAGGCGTCCGGGTCCTGCATCCACTAATCTTGAGCTGCCGGAATATGCAGGGTTTCTGGATTAATCAATCTTTGTGCAATTTGAGGATACCTCGGATTGGAAAGCGCTTCCGTCCTGAACGTCCGCAGTCTGCAGTGGATGAAGCTGCACAAAGGCTGGGAGCTGAAGGGGGTGCGCAAGAGCTGCCTCCTGCGGTGGGTTCATCCCAATACTACTCACTTACGATTACCTTACCACTCTGTGGCAGCTTCTTTATCCCTACACTGTAATGACTGTAATAACAGACGGTGGTACCTGTCGACCAGGCCCGGTCCTCCAGGTTGGCTGCGAAGTGAAGGTCGTGAGCTGAGATGAGACTTACATTGTCTACTAGGTTATATCCATGGATACCAGAGGTACTACACTATAGGTGAAAAGTTCTAGGTTATAGAGGACAGATTATGTACAGTATAGCATTGTAAACTATATGTTACAAGTTATAGTCGTCCCGGATGTCCGATCCCGCAAACTTCAGGGCAGAGGCTACAGCGGAGTTTGGAGATTGGATCCGAAAGCTCCTTGTTGAAGCTCGGAGTTGCAGATTTCTTCGTGGCCCCCGCAATGGGAAGGCTTTTGCAACCTCTGAGAAGGCTGGAAGCTGCTTGTTGCAGCATAGGAAAGAAACGATGAAGCTGGTATGGCGTATCGGATGGATTCCGGGACCGGCACGGACTGTTGACCGAAGCAGCACTTGGAAAGAAGCCTTCAAAAGGGAGGCTTCCAGGGTTTGCAATGCGCCGGAAAGCACAGATGCTACAATTAATGAGAAATGGAGCAGCACATGCTTTCGTGCAGATCGAAGAACGAAGACAAAAGGATGTATAGTGGTGATGACGATGCAATCAATCGCAGCAGATATGTGCCAGGCCGATGATGGCAACTAAGATATCAGCCGCAGCCGATCGTTCATGCAGTGTTCCGTGGTGTTCAATCATTGCAGCGCTTTTACCAGCATTGTTGTTCGCGTCTCGTGCATCCCACGGTCGTGCCACATGCCTCTTTTGTAACAGCTGGTCCTTGCATTGGTCAGATGGTACTTATAGGCACAGGATGAGATAATGAGATGGTGCACTCTTGTCGTCTGCATATAGTTCTGACTTGATCATGACGAGCTGTTCAGCAAGCTCTGCTCTTGGGTGTCCCATTGGTGCTCTCAGCAGAATATTCGTGAACCGTGCCGAAAGGTGAAGAACATTGGCGATGGCACAATCGACGATGCAACGATTGTGGGTGGACCAGTGCGGCCATGACCTCAGCTTGGATGCTGCAGCTCGCTCTTTCCAGGGCCTTTCACAGACAGAGGAGCTCGGAGCAAGGGCGAGTCAAGCCCGATTCGGTGTGTTGCTTTCTTCTAACGTAGATTCTACGTAGATGTTTGCTCGTGGCCGACGGATATAGGCGTGCGCTCAGCGAAACAATGCTAATGCTTCTCACACTGGAAGCGCACAAGGCAGCATTAGATTAGATTCCACATCTCGGGTTCGATTCACCCAAGCTTCTCTCGAGCCTTAAACCTTGTTGAATTGGGTTGCAAAGACCCTACTCTTCGAATCTTCTCTAGACCCCTATGCACCTTGCACCCTGTAGTAGCCTGTATGTTAAGCCTTATGATGCCCTAACACAACCCCTCATAAGATCTACTAGGCTTATTTTGTTATCGTACGTCGTACGTTACGGTGCGTGAGAATATCTCTTACAGCATTATGATAAATATATTCTGCTGTATCATATTCTATCGACTTGTATCTTATGGCACATGTATGTTTTTGTTTAAAGGGGAACTCCTGAGGATGCCTCACCGCGACGTCCAAGGCTGGCGCGTTCGCGCCACGGCCTTGGGATCTGGGGGTTTGGACAGAGTGAGAGAGAGAGAGAGAGAGAGAGAGAGAGAGAGAGAGAGCACAAATATTGACATGGACACAGACATGGACATGCGCGGCACTTCAGTATGTATGGTATCGGACACGCACACACAGGTGAGATCTTTGTTAGTTTCGTCATTCTTACATTGTCTTGCATACGGCTGTATAGATGTTGTGATATGTGTTGCTTGATTCAGATTGCCAAGCTTCGTTGAGCAAAGATCCTTAGGTCAAGGAGGGGGCGAAGTTACCTCCAGCTGCGAACTGTTGAACCAATCGCCCTTGTGGAAGGGCGAGGCTCATCAGTTTTGGAATAGATTGTGCCAAAAGGCTTTAGGAACATGAACATGCAACCAATACATAATACATCCCTGACATCCAACTGCACAGAGGGTCTTTCATGGTTTTGAACGAGCATGCATCCCCTTTTCACCCAGAGCCTCCGACTGAGGACTTGGATGAAGACGTCCACATCGTTGCCGTGGACCAGCTGACAGAGGCGCCTCAGCCTCTCTTGCAACTGCTGCAACAGATACTACTCGTGCTCCTGCTGCTATGCCTGCAAGAGTCACAGGGACGTAGGAGTGCAGGGCAGCTAGCTGGCTAGCTGCAAGTGTCATTCGTGACCATTGCCACAACCCGACGAGTAGTTCGGCATTTGTTATGTGTGCTGTCCTTTCAGCTCCATCACTTTGTGATCAGTACTTCTTCTGACATTGTTCGCTCCTGTGTTTAGATTGACCTGTCGCCAGGTTGCTTGTGACTCATGACACGGCCTCGGTCATCTCTGCAAGTAAGGTTCGCGTGACGGCTTCACCCTGGTCCAGTCAATGTGAAGCTGGTAGCCCATGTCTGGACAGACTGCGAGGTGTCGGCCCCCAACCACGATGCCTGGGAGACTGACGAGGACTTGCCTTCACAACCATGTCTCAGCCGCAGCGACCTTCTGTGCCAATTGGCCAACTCCAACTGAGCTTCGGTTTCTTACGAGGCCTACAGTTGGTGCGTAGTGAGCGCCCCGATAATCTCAAAGGGTAAGGGTTGCTGGCAAGGTAGTGGCACGAGGTCGCAAGCACACACAACAAGCCTAGCAAGCTTGCATGCAGGGCATGCGGTGAAAAGCGTCAGGAGTCTGCCGAGTTGATGAACTGGCGGCTTGGTCCGGCAAATGATAGTTGAGGGAGAACCATGTCAAAGACCGTGGATGTGTTTTTACGATGCGTAAAAGATAACTAACTCCATGCGCTGTTGACTTGGAGCAGGGCACCATTGCATCTGAATCTGCATGTCCATGATTGGTTATCGGCACCCAGCTGATTGTACAGTACCTATCGCACAGTATGAAACTCTGTGGTTTCCTCTGTGCGGGACCAGGCATGCGCCTGGATTGGACGACTTATCCTACATCGACATTCAGGAAACATGTGCACCAGAACTTTGAGATAATCGCCTGCACAACTGCACCTGCTCCTTTCGGATTCCACAGAGAACATGGTGCACCAGTGTTATGAAGCTCGGAAGAGCATGTTGATTTTGGGAAGGACGATGATGGCTGGGTGGTCGGCCAGTTCCCATGCCGACGAGCAGGCGAAGTCATTCTGTCGCGTGAAGCCGTGTTGCAAAAGAGAGTCCCGCGAGTACATGCCTGCTAACTACTGCTCCTTGTTATTATGTGCTGTGTAGCTGTGGGTAAACAGCAGACTTGCATTCCAAACAACACTTCTCCGTACGGCATTAATTGGCTGAATCATGAGCGCCTGAGCATGCTTTTGTACCTTGGCAAGAGGCAACTAAGGACTCATCTAGTCTAACTCATGACCTGAAGCTTGGCCACATTGCGTATCGTCGCGTGAATGCTCACCTTGATTTGTAGTTACCAACGGGTGCTGGCAAAATACTCAAACCTCAAACCCCGAGACGGTTTATGATTGTATATGATCCACTGACTTGTCGAGCACGAGTGACAAAAATATGATCCACGACTGCCGGCCAGACAGCATCAAGCCAATTCTTTGTCTGTCACAGGCATGGCTGTGGCCCCTACCGCGGCCCGCGGCTGCCGCTCCTTCTTTATCTTTGGTGGTGCACAGCGCTCTGGCCATGCAGACTGTCGGATGTGAATACTTTGGTGGATTTAAATATCTCATGAGCGAAGCCAATGCTATCTCAGGTACGTGCATCAGGCCGGCTTTGGTGACAAAACATGACGTTTGTGAGCCTTTTGTATTGGCGCACATGCTCGCATTCTACTCTTGCTTGGTCCCTTGTAAGGGCTCTGGGCTTTCCATGCCACGTGGATCCCCGTACATTGCTCCTTAAGTTCCATACGAAGCGTTCCAAGAGAGCTGGCTTCAGCATCAGGAATGGTACTCAGACGTCTTCGAGTGCTCGCTGGATGCAGAGGTAGGCCATGGCTGAGCAAAACAGGCCTCAGCTCCCGGAGTTTCACCCGGCATGTGGCGTTAAACCGTCAGTTCCTTGCCTCACGAGGCACAGGATGCATGGGAGGCCGCAGCCAAAAATGAATCGCTCTGCAGATAGTCGTATAGGGAGGACGCCACGCAGAGCTCCCAAGCCTCTTCATGGCGAAATCTTAGAGTCTTAGAGCACAGCTGGGCGCTGGCTTCCGGCCGACTCTCCCCAGGTGCTGGCTGGAAGAGGGCATGGAACCCGGACACTGAGGACCTGTTGCCTTCGTCTTTCTTCATCCGTGGCCACGGCTGCAGGGGAATCGCGTGGGAATAGCCTATAGCCTTAGCAGCTGAAGCTTGCTCTAGGCTCTAAGGCCCAGGCTCTGCAAACTTTGTCACGTTTGAGAAGGGGCATCTTGCTGCTTGACGTGATGACCTATGTCGGACCGCGGTATGTGTTCATCGTCAGGTCCAGAAATAAGGCAAGGTATGCTTGTGATGTAGTCCGGGCACGTCACTTTACACATCTTGACTCAACAGTTGCCAGAAGACGCACTCGCAGCAAGGGCAGAGGCATCTCATGGTGGGAACTATGGTCTGCCGAATGTCACAAAGCCAAGCCTTTGTGCAACAACGATCGTCTGCTGTGCAGTTTTTGCGAAATGCGCATTTCGCTGCCTTTGGCCCAAGACGGGCTGTCGACGTCAAGTCGCTCCTAAGGCCCGCCCTCAGCTTTGTTTCTACCAGCCCGAAGGTCGACGTCGATCACATGGATGGGCATGAGACTAATCACTGTGTAGCACTTCGTGTGACCGCAGATCCGTTCATACGGGATACCGGAAGAGCAACTCCCTCAAGATGAGCCGAGAGCATTGGAGTATGGCTTCTTGAGATCCGGCTATGCTCGCCTCAGCGGAGCAGGCGCAGGGCCGAACCTGTGACGATTGCGTGGCAAAGCAGATCTCAAACTGAGCGTCCGGTGCTTTGTCTCAGGACTCTCGAAGGCAGCTGCTGGATCAACTGTCTAAGTCGCAACGAGCTCGGTGCGTTCCTCTGCACCTCGAGCAGCATGTAGCATCGTAGCTTGTGGGTCTTTTGTAGATTCATGATTCCGCCGAGTCAATCGCATGAACTTCTGTGAGAAAAACTGAAACTTTGGTGCCGGGGCCGGGGCCGGGTACAAGTGTTCACGGCGTGGGAAGCGCTTGACCTCGACCTCAACGGTTGCTTCGGTAGACAAGCAATGCCAGGAAAGTCCATGTCCCTGTCTCCGGAAGCTAGGTCCAGGGTTCAATTTAACGAAATCCGAGGTCCGAGCCCCCTAAGCTTGAGAAGCGGGTTAACATAGCCCTGCACGACAGACAACTGAGGCTGAAAAACGGACAGGGGAGCACTGTGCGTCCAAATCCATCTTTGCAGTGCCTGGCCTGTTTGAGAATCTTGGGTACTGGTAGTGGCTGCTTCCAGGTGCTGAGACCGAAGGCTTCAAGTCATGATAAGGCGATAAGGCTCAACGGCGGCGATGTGGAGTATCCCAGGAACCTTCTTTGTTGCCTTTGTTCTTGCGATGCTGCGACAGGTGCACATGTTATAAAACGGTCTTTGTCTCCAAACTGACAGCTCAGGTTCCTAGCCTCTTTAGAGGCTAATCCGAGCTCGCCTTCACCGTCTCCACATACGCCCAAGAGTCACTTGCCGTCAAAGCGAAGGGAGAAGCTACGTATATCGCCCAGCAGTGGAAGAGTGTGTCACGTCTGACACACTTACGAAGTGCGGCTGCAATCGATGCCTTGAAAGGCTCCGAGATTTTTACGTGCGCTCACATGATTCCGAAATTCTTGCCAGGCGATCGGTTTCAGACAGAGACATCCAACCGAAACTTGCATACTGCACACATCTCAGCTTGCGAAGTCGTGCTAGTGACGGGTATTTTTGTCCCACGCAGATCTCTCCGTGTTGTTCATTTCCTCTGGCCGGCTCGATGTTGTGCTACACTACTACGCTCTGAACTACTCTTCAGCTGGGCGATGCACTTCGTGCTTTACACCGATGTACCTCCTTGACCCTTCGATCCCACCAAACACACTGTGAGGTAGCCACAGCTCTGCAGATGCCAGCACGCATGTGCCGGCCACACGCAAAGGTCGGAGTTTGCCGGGGCAGGCCCCCAGCAATCCCCGGAATCTATGCCCAAACACCCACGTGCTTTGGGAAGGTGCTGGCTTCGACAAACTCTCGAACCTGAGCCTCGGATGTGATTTTGAGCTACCTACACTTGGCCATATGGGAGTTTCCGAAAATGAGGTACCTTTCCGCGCGGCTGACAGACCCCTGAGTCCGCGAGAGAGAGAGAGAGTCTTGCTCGCGTCCGGCGGGGGGAACAGACCGCTCACGTTCCCACCGGAAATCCCTATCCTAGCTGGGGTGCAGCTACATATGAGAGCCCTGCCGTTCGGAGCCTGGGCAGGCATCACCCTCAACAGAGGGTCCACCATAGCACCCCGCTACGACCAGCAAGCACACCTGGGCTTCATGCGGGCGCGCCAAGAACGCAAAGGGGGGCTCCCGGCACCAGCAGGATACATGGGAGCAAACATCGCATTCGCTCTCTTCCCATGGGGGAGCATACGGGCGGGGAAACCGGAAAAGTGGTTGCTACAGATAACCGCGGTGGGACAGCTCGCAGACACAGGGGGGGCAGACCTACGACCAGGCACAGGATACATCCTGGAATGGAACGAACAGGACGGCGCATGGAGGCTGGGAAACCTAGCCCCGAAGGCGGCAGCCCAATACTACTTCGATTGGGTGTTCCAAAGAGAGGCGGGGGTGGTCTACCAGCCGCCGCCACGCACAGCAACGTTCCCACCAGGACAGTGGGAGATGATGGCCATACGGCTACTGCCACAGCCAACCCGGGGGGGCAGCAGCAGCAGCGCGGCGCCGACACCGGCGGCAACAAACACGCCGCAACCAGCACCAACGCCCAACCTAGGGGGGCCAACGGCCATGCAGCAGAGCCAAGGAACCGCTCCACAGACGCGGCACATGCAGCAGCCACAAACACCACCTGAGGGAGACGAGAACCTGCCAGAAGAGGAAGCAGACGAACTGACATACATGCAGCGTTCAGCAGCCACGGGGTCCGGCGATAGGAATCCGAGCCATGGGGACAACGGCGCAGCGACGCCGGCCGAACCATGACACGGGAGATGGCAATGATCCGGCTCTACCTGCGCCAACTGCTCTACCTGGGCACGCTCCTCTCCGTGGGGGACGCGACCATGGACATGCTCGAGGAGACGATGGCGGCCCTAGAAGGCGAAGCAGAGGGACGGCACAGAGGGGGACCAGGGCAACCGGCCTGTTCCGAGCCACCTGCGCGCAATAGGGGCTTGGACTACGTCGCCATGGCCAAGCTCCGCATTGAAGATGTGGGGGAAAGTGATGGGCCGGACGGCGTCAACCAACACCAAGCCATGGCCGACCTGGGCCATATTGAAAGAGATCTGGCCGCGGCAACGGACGTCCTGCAAGGCCTTGCGAGAAAGCAGGGGGGCTACCAAGTGAACAACGTCTTCGAGGGCATCGCACAAGTACGCCATGCTATTGCTGCAGCCAGGACGGCTGCGCACCAGGGGGACTTTGACTGGATGTCGGAGAGTTGGGGGGCCACCTTGAAGCTGCTGCTCCAGCCGGCGATGGACTTCCAGGAGGAGACGCTTCTGCTCAACTTCGCGCACGCAGCAGACGTGGCAGCACTAGAAGCTGGTGCCCTAGAAGAGCCGCCACCGAGACAGGGGGACCATCGCCAACAAGCTCAGCAAGTACTACGAGACCTTCGAGGGGTGGCCCCGTTCCTCACGACTGGGGGAGACCAGCTCAGAGGCTGCCTGGCAATGGTGACGGGGGCCCTGGAAGCGCCTGTCACAGTGGACACCCAGACCACGGAGGAAGGGGAGGCCAGCCAGTCGCTCTTTGGCCAGCTGGGGGGCCAGCCGATGTCGGAGCAACCATGGAAGCCACCTCTCGACATAGAACAGTGGCCTGGAAGCATCCCTTCGTCGGGGACGGAACCGCCAGAACAGGGCCCCACACAACCTGACGACAGCCAGTGGGGGCCCTCGGATGACGACCTGCTGGCAGCCATGGATGCATATGAGCGTCAAGTTGAAGAGGAAGCCAGAGAGCAAGCCATGCTGGACGCAGTGGGGGGAGCAGGCTCACCAGAAGAAGACCAGGGGGGACAGCCTGGGGCCCCACCACTGGCACGTGCAGACAGCCATCGTCGGCGGCGTCTCCACGCGGCCCTGTACGATGAAGACGGCGGCTTCTGGCACCCGGGGGACTGAGCTCGTACGACGACCTGAAACACTGACAGTGACCTGTAGCCACAGCGGGGGAATGCAACAGTCGCTAGAGATAAATGTCGGTGAGCCTAGCAGTATGTCAGTCTGTTGTCGAGTAGGCAGCGCAGCGCAGTGTGTTTTCGAACAGACGGAACCCCGCAAGTAGGACTGCCGGGGCCCAGCGAAGCAGAACATGTGTAAGCAGTGCATGTGCAGTTGTTGCGTTGTAGTGACGTGGTCTGGGCCTCAGAGTGTTTGCTTTCTCACGAGGGGCGCAAGCCTCGAAACAGCACGGCACAATGTGCTGATGCAGGGGGGCTAAAGGCGCCCTACGCTTTACCAGGTAGCCCAGGCAGTGCTGGGGGCTCAGTAGACAGTTGAGAGCCCTTTTTCAGCACGGAACCATGAAGAGGCCGGGGGTTCAGGGTACTTTAGTGTACATGGGGTAGGGGGTACTTCCGGTGCAGTTCGGTGCCTCTTTCGGAAGCCTGGGGGGTCTCACAACAGACCTTCAGACCGGTGCGCGCTTGCGCGCGGGCGCCACGGCGCCTTGTCCGAGTGCAAGCAAGAGAGAGAGAGAGAGAGAGAGAGAGGTGGGGGTACCTTATTTGCGGGTCCTTATAACATGGATCCTACTATTTAGGGTACTATATTCGGGTCCCCTATTTCCGGAAAGTCCCATAATGTCCCATATAAGCATCTCCCACATGCGGAAGATGAGAGGGCATCAGCTTCCAGAGCCATCCGCTTCTCAGGCGCAGCTGCCACACACTTCAGGGCGTCCTTCAAAACACCCACGCCTTCGCCCGTTGGCAAGGACTGGAGCTGTCGAATGGGAGACTCTGAAGCAGAAGCCAGATCCTCATGCATTCCAATACCCGCCACTTCCGCTCCCAGTGAAGACAATCACGAACAGGGCCCAGCGGCAGCTCTGCGGGAGCGAAAACCGGAGCCCAGCTCGGAGAAGCCGATTCTTAGGAGCCTTGGTAGAGCTTGGAGATTTTGCTGCACACAGGCCTTCGGTCTCCAGGATTTTGGGGGGCTTTCCTTTGCTAGGGTGGGCTAGGACACTTGTTTTGGTGCAGAAGATGTTCCATCCCAGCAGATATCTAGCCTGTTTGCTCCTGCGCCCTGCTGCTGAGGTCGGTTCCGCGCTTGCCCGGTAGAGTCCTTGAAGACACGCAGTCGAGCAACTCAGCCGACATAGGCAAATATCAGCAGCCCACGAAGCTCAGATATGAAATCTAGATGATGCATGCTGGAATTGTCGATGCTGTACGTCCTGGCCATGAGGATAATGATGTTGCAACTTTCGGGCTTGGAGTTGAAAAGACTTTGTCGTTTTCATCGCGGCTGCTGCAGCTGTTCTCTGTGGACGTCTGGGCCAACACCACGGCTTCTGACAATTCTTGCGAATACGTTGGCTGAATGAACTCAGGCGACAGCTGCAGTGTATCAGTGAACAACCTGAACAAACACGATTGTCCTTGCCTTTGTTCGCTGCAAACTTGGCTGGAGCCTGCCTATGCATGCTTATCCACGCACGTGCTGCCCGACAAAGTGTCCTTTGCTGGGAGCCTCCACAATCGAAGAAATTGCCATGCGTGCAGTCAAGGAACGTGCGCAGCAGCGCATCTCCCACATCAAGATGCTCCTCCAGCGAGGTCTGCTCAAAGCCAGGCACGGGCTGTGTTACCACACGATGGTCAAAGGTTGAACTGAGTCTGAGGCACTGGGTACAAGCAGTCTCGACTTGATTACGGAGCCCTGCTACGCCATAAATCTCCTCCGCGAATCATTCTCAGATCAGAATCCAGTGCTGAAACCGAGGAGGTAGCGAATCCTGCAGCGGTTTTTTTGCGATGTCTCCGTGGCAAAAACACTGTGTCCTGCTTTCTGGCCTAGCCCCCGATTCTGCTTCAAGCTGTGTCGTGCCAGCCAAGGGCCAAAATCCTCTTTTCCATGCAAATGCGAGCGCGGACTTTGCTGCCAGGCACTCCGACGATCTCCACGGGATTGGCAGCCAAAGGTCCTCCCCCCGAAGGTCGGCTGTTGGACTTTCAGAGGGTTTCGGGGTACGAGGGCAGGGCCTATTCCAGTGTACTGGTGCGAGGGTTTTACAGGGGGATTGCTTCGATTTTGCGCCTCGAATTCGTCGGGGTCTGCATATACGATCCGTCGGCTTACGTCACCAGGGCAAGCAGCAGTAAGGGGCATGTTGTAAATGCGTGACCAAGATCAGACTTGAGCTCGACAGGAGAAGGAGAAGACCACCTTGGCCTGGAAGCCAGAGAGCCCACGGCCGCTGGACTGAACGGAGGGCTTCAGGAGTTGTCTGCGATTCGGCTCTGCTCAAGAGGGTCGTCGATGCTTGGTCAGTAGTCAGTAGTCTTCGGCACAAGAACACGGAAACTTGAACGATGCCTGGATTGCAAGCTGCTCAGCGCAGATAGGCGCAGTGAAGTGCCAGGTCCGGAAAGCGCCCTGCCTCCCCAGATCGCGCGGCATGGATGCAGCGCCCGCAACGGCGCCCTGCATCTCCCTCGCCAGAGCGGCTGCCACGGCCCACGCAGCCGAAAGCGGAAAGATCTCAGAGCCAGGGGGAGATGAGACAGCACGTTGAGGTGAAGTCTCCGCCTCAAAACGAGGTAAGACTTCAGAGCCTCGCAGAGGCAAGATATCAGAGGAAGACGAGGCTTTCAGGTCACGAAAGCCCAGGGCCCTCTACCCCGATCCGGCCCGATGCAGAGACTTCGCAGCATCCGGCGGCTGCGCCCCAACCGGAGGCCAGAACTTGGTCAAATCTCGCTTGATTGCTGCATTACGGTGCACAGGGTGAGCTGAATAGTACTTTCAACCCACTGCACCACTCGAGCGCAAACATTCGCAGCGCAAGATGTCCGGAGATATCCAGAGAACCAGAGTTGTATCATCATCGCTTTGCAGCATGTCGCTGCCAGGTTCGGATTCCGATCATCTCTGTGGATCTCGGGGGCTACGCCAGCTCCATCCGCGTGGGCACGCCGACCGTTCCGCCTCCAAGTGGTCACTGCCTGCCTTCTTGGGCAACCACCGATGCAGGTAGGGTCTTGCTTTTAGGTTCCTTCGAAGTTGCATACCATCCTGAGACTCTGGTGGAAGCCAGGTCGGGAAAGAGTACCAGTGTTGACTTCTGTTCATTCCTCATTCAGCTATCGTTAGCAGCGTGCTGGTGCCGGACTGCACCTTCCTTGAACTTCATCTTGTAGCCTCCGGCATCAGTGAAGGGTTCTGCACCAAACGAAGCATGTAAGCCTTATCAGTTGTCTCCGACCTTCTCTGTCTCTAGACTCTAGACGTACAAGTCTCCCTTCTTGACAACTTCGCACTCCAGCAGCGAAGCACTGACGGAAGTGAGTCAGAAGCCCAAAGTACAGCTGGGGAAGAATGCCGAAGAGTCAGAAGAATCTGGCAGAAAGCATTGGGCACCATTTGCCGGCAGATGTGGGCCCGAGATTTCACAACTTGCCTGAAAGAACCTTACGTTGAAGCTGCAGTTGTCAGGCCTCAGTCCGTTTCACAAGAAGCTCGCCCACTTTGCGGCCGAGAAGCTTGGCTCAGCGGTATGGCTAGACAGCATATGAGCCTGGAGATTGGAACAGAAGGATAGGGTACTCAGCCGAGTTGTACGACTTGCGTACCGTCTCCCTGCCCGGAAGCCCTCTCCAGGAAGATCCAACGTGCTTGGCGCCGCTGGTGGCTGTGTAATTGCAGCTGCTTCGGGCCCCAAGGCGCTAGCTTCGGCTCATGGAGCACATATAGACTTATACTTGTATTATATTATATTATCAATCTAGGGGTTTGGGCCATTTTATATTTCCCTTTTTGGGCTTAAGAGGATCTTATTTACATATATTTTTCAAAAGCTTTACAAGCCCCACCTAGTTATAGTATATTATGTATTTTCTATAGATTATATCATGTCATAGTATATGCTATGTCATATAGGCCATCCTGAATGATAGTGAGTGTCGCAGGCAGCATCACATGCAATCATGTCCGTCACATGCTTGGCCGAAATTGTTGTCAGGGCTCCGTGCGCTGCGGGCATCCATTGTGCTCCTTGGCGTCGAACAAGTCCAGCAGACCTTTACATCAGCCGGAGTAATTACAGCAGTTAGGCTGTTTGTCTTCTTAGGGCTCTTCATTGCAGGTATAGTGTTGCGGGAATAAAACACTGATGGTGATACGGCCACACGCCTGCTATCCTCTTTCCAACCTGTCTTGTTGACCACATGTGGCTGCAGACGGTGATAGACAAGCTTGTTGTAACAAACACAAGACGTTTGAAGTGTTACTCCCAGAGGAGGGCCATGAATGCTCTTCGACATGTCTAGTGGTGACAGTTTGTGTAGTGTTCCCTTGAAGGCTCGCTCGCAACCTTGTTGAAAGTACCCGGATTTGCTTGCAGTTCATATGCATATATGTTTTTGAATGTCTGCTGATTACGCCAGTGCATGCCGCAGTTTGTACATGTCGCTGCTCGAAAGAAGTAATACTGAGTTACTTCAACACGAACTTTGTTATATGAAGGAGGATGTCCAGGTCTAGGCTTCTGTGTTGGCAATACACACACTACTCAAACCTGACCAGCTTGATCACGGTTCAGGATAGGCATCATGTAGAACATTAGAGCTCGAAAGGGGCGAGGACATTGGAGCAAAAGGAGCAAACCACTCGAAAGGGATTTTCAGCAATTAGAAACAGGGGCAAGCCGAAGGGATTCATTTGAGCTTTATGCAGGCATGCATGCATGTGTGCATGTACATGTACATGACTATGATTAGTTATGTATGTACATTTGTCCGACTGTTCTTCTTTGTGTATCTATAGTCATTGTATGAATCGAACCTTTGCACTCGAACCCGACACTCGGCTCCCAGATATGTGCAGCGCTGGTGGCGTGACATTCTTTTCCGCAGACTGATGAGACGACAGGCCTGAGAGTCTGGCATTTGCATTGCTTCAGAAGGGCGCGCAAAATTTTGCCGGCTTGAATGGTGAACAGGCAGGTAATGGGAGTGTTTGGTGTGCTTGGACCATTTCAGTACCTTGCTGTGTGACCCCCATGGCAGCTCGAACACTCGCTGAGGGACATCACGAATTTGCGGCGGGCGTGTTTACTCTGCAGACGGTTTTGTGTGCTGCAGAAGGGCGCTTAATATCTTTGGGGATGTGTCGTCGCAACATCTGTACTGCAAACTCTTTCGTCCAAAGATTCAAGCCAAGCACATGAGAATGCAATCACTTAACCCCTGGCTCCTGAACAGCCATACATTACAGGGTACGTATGGTGAGCGAGCCCCCAAAGCCCAGAATCGTCGGGCAGGTCGCCAAAGTTTGGCGAGGGATCTTCCTTCGTGCCCAGCTTCTCCGCTCATCGGCAAACAGGCGCTGCAGCTCGCGAGACGTAGTCGGATGCACCCGCTAGTTCCGGTGGCACATGGATCTTCAGCACGTCTACTCGTAGGAATGTAGATCTCTTAGACGACTGGATGCATCTGATTGCAAGGGATTCATGTAGCATGGCAGTGTCGAAGATCGTGGCAAAGATTCATCCAAGCAGCATCGGATGCGAAGCCTGATTTCAGGCTGCAGCGTGGCTGGCGCAGCGTGGCTTCAACAACCCTGAAAGGTTTAAGCTTCGGCAAGTGCCTATGAACTTTGGACATGCAGCGACACGACGGGGTTTGTAGAGCATGGTGTGAAGTGCTGCAGATGAAGCGCGTGAAGGCAACATGTGTTGTTCGGCATTGTTCTTTTCAGAGAGCTTTCCTGCCCTATGAGAAACCAGAGCACAAGCCTTCCACTCCCTGCTGGCTCCTACTCCGCACAGGCTTCTTTTCCACGTTTACTGTGACAGTCGTTCAGCCTTGACATATTCCAGTGATTCCCGCAGTAGTGCACACAGGGAGGACCTGCAAGACCAGAGCACTCAAAACAGCACGGGTTCCAACCCGTCTCGGAAAGGGTGGGTTTGTGCCGTCGTCCCCAAGTTCGGGCAGAAGATGGACGCTTTGCCGTGTTCTTCCACTCAATGTCTCAGCCGCTTGAGGCATGCATCTGACTATTCGATGGCGGCTTCGACTGCGGCAAGCGGCAGAGGCTGCGTTGATGCATCTTTGAGGATGATGTGTCTTTCAGACCGCACACAGAATGCATCTAGGTAGACGGCTTCAGGCAATGGAACTGTCCATTACTATGCGAATCCTTGTCAGTGCTCTGAAAGTGTCTTGGCTGCTGCAGGAAATCCAACGAGCATGGCGTCGTCACATGGTTTGCGTGCGGCAAAGGCTGGCGGCAATTGGCGAACAAGCTCTTAGCCCGCGTTGATGTACCGCATTCAGAATTGCAGCCGATGCACATAAACTGCTGCGATGTGGCAGGGATATTTGCCCAACGAAGATGAGTACACATAGCTAACACCTTGATTAGCTGTGCTCTAGCTAGTATCAGTGAGCACACATATCAACACAAGCTCACGTCATCCAGTATTGGCCGTGGGTTGAAGCTCATTAGGCTGGATCTGAGCTGATCACATCCCAAGCAACTGGTAACCTTGTAATCAAGATTGCTGCATGCTGTCCCTCGAGAACCATGTCAGCGCGCAATTGCCTTCTTTTGAGTCCTGCAACTATTGCGGATGGGCGTTGTGTGTTCCATTTTCAAAGTTGGAGTGCTGCGCAGTGGAGATGGGCTGCTCGGAGGCAGAAGCGCACAGCGCTTCAGCAGCTTAGATCCTTTACGGCCAGGAAGAACGCAGCGAGTTTCGCTGCTAGGCGGCACATGTGAAGGTCAGAGCTGTCTAGACTTGCTGCGATTGCATACTGTAGGCAAACAACAACCACAAACCTCGAAGCCAGCACGAAACCGGAAGACAGCAGGCGGAAAGTCGGAAAGTCCCAAGTCGGTCTGCCAGTGAAAATAGTAGACATTGACGGGGAACCGGGACAGGGGCAGAACGGGAGATTCGTTGAGGTGCTCCGTGCCATGAAGAGGTTCTGCCAGGCCGGATCTCCAAGCCCCACACATCCATGATCTCGCCACTTCGCGGGTCATCGCACGCCGCTCTTACAGCTGTGTCCTCTTCCGGCAGGTCCAGCGCGAAGCTGCCATTTGTTTGCAGAGCCAATGGCGTGGGCTGCAGGTGGAAAGTGCAGCGGGTCACCGACGTCGGACTGTGTATCAATCCTCGATTGGGCATGCATGACAACATCAGCAGTTCCTGTCACATCACGCTTCAGCTCCGAATCAGATCCGCCGCCGCTTCGCCGGCGACCGTGACCAGCTGCTGCGTGCACGGGACCGGCGCGAGATCATCCGGAGAAAGGTGGGGAGCCGTGACGATTGCCCGATGCTGTCGCCACGCTTAGCCAACACACCAGATGACACATTGCAAAACGATGGAGCGCAAACCAATTCATTCGCAAACATGTGGCTAGTCGCATAACAATGCTTGTCAGCATGTGACGGCCGCAGACAGGACAGAGGATGGGTATCCGATGCATCCAACAGCCATTTTGGCTTAGAAAACCACTGGAGTGCAGAGCCTGTGGTTTCGTCCTAGAGGAGATTAGGATGGCTCCCTCTACCCAGCAGGTCGCTGTCGCGGCCATGGCGGCCGTGGGCTGCACGGCCTTCGTCGCTGCGCCCAGCACCGCACGTGGCCCCGCTTTGCGTAGCACCGCCCAGGGCCAGGCCTCGAAGGTCTCGGCCTCTTCCGGCGGCCTGGCCGTCTGCGGCCTCGGTGCAGCAGTTGCTGCCGTCATCGCTGCTCCTAAGAAGCAGAGGTCAGCGCTCCGCGCTTTTGAGACTGAGCTCGGGGTGCAGCCTCCAGCCGGATTCTGGGATCCCCTAGGCTGGGACGAACCTCAAAAGAATCGAACAAAATGGCACCTCAATGCGTCCGGGCTTTTTGCGCTTTGATCTGCGGGCAGCTTTTCACTTCTGTTGCATTGCCCCTGCCAGGCTTCACCAAGGGCGGCGATGCGGCCTCCTTCCGCCGCCGAAGATATGTGGAGTTGAAGCACGGACGTGTGGCAATGTTGGCATGCATGGGATATATTGTCCCTGAGTACTACCGTTGGCCTGGCGAGCTTTCTCCATCCCTCGGCCTGAAGTTCACGGATGTCCCCACCGGCTTCGCCGCCTTCTCAAAGGTGCCTCTCAGTGGCTGGGCTCAGATGGTGGCTTTCGCTGGCAGCGTGGAGCTTTTCCAGTATGTCGATGATCCCAAGCGTGCCCCGGGCGACTTCGAAAACGCGGGTCTCCTTGGCATCCCCAATGGATTCATGAAGGCTCCGGAGGGTCAAAAGGAAAAGAAGCTGGCTGCAGAGATCGCAAACGGCAGGCTGGCAATGATGGCTATCATTGGCATGTTCTTCCAAAACGGACTGACTGGACAGGCTTGGGGTGACTGGTCTCTCTACACTGACTCCCCGCTGCGCGCCCTGACGCCGGCACAGGAGATCATCGCCGGGACCGGCGGCCCTCTCCCTGACAACTTCTGGGATCCGGCAGGCATCACCAATGGCAAGACCGAGAAGGAGATCGCAATGCTCCGGGCCATGGAGTTGAAGCATGGTCGTGTCGCCATGCTCGCAGTGCTCCACTGGTTCCATGTTGCTGCAGGCTACCACCTCTTGGGGGATTATGCCATTGGCGAGAGAATGAGCAACGACCCTCTGGTCAGCTTGACCCAGCTCCCCATGGGAGGCATGTGGCAGGTGATCTTCACCATCATGTGCTTGGAGTGGCTGACCACCTACATCTGCAAGCCCCCTGAGGACCGCCCTTGGGACGTGCTCGGATGGAAGGGAATCATCGACGAGGATTACCCTTCCGAGATCTGGAACGGATGGAAGCGGGTCCAGTGCCAGGAGCTGAACAACAGCCGCCTTGCCATGGTGGCTATCACCGGACTCGTCGCGCAGGACGTTGTCACCGGCGACTACGTCGCAGGTGTCGGCAAGCTCTGCGGCGGGGCGGAGGTGTGCAACCAGCCCATTGACTATTCTCCTTGGCAGAACCTCCCTCCCATCGAAGACTTCGTGGCCAACGCACCCTCTTGGGCCAATGGACCAGCTCTCTACGGTGTCAACTAAGCGGCAGCTGCGGTAGAATCGGCCAAAGCGCAGCGGTGCTGGAGTCGTGAGAACCTAGGCTCTCTGAGCCATCAGCAGTTTCACCTTTCGCTTGCGATGGGCACTCCCCTAAGCATTTTGGAATCCCACCCTACAGTATCATTCCCTGCCCACCTTCGCGGAAGAACGTGCAGTCTGCAGTTTGTTTGCCTTCAACTTGATGCCGTGTGTGGCTGCTTTCAAACTATTAGCCTGCATCTTCTGTGTGTAGCTGCATCAAAGTGAAGGCTGTAGCGGCCGGAGTAGACCGAGTGGATTCTTTGATGTGGCTTGGAGTTTGTTTGGGTTACTCTGAGCAGCATATCTTGAGAGTTGCAGCATTGTCTACTCCGGCTTCCTTCGAGACTCCCTCCTGTACGCTTTCTGGATTTTTGATGAGAGAGGGAGTCCGGAAGCTCGTTCGTCGTCCCGACTCACGCGTCGTGAGGTCGTGGTGAACGTTGAAAGTGCGCGTCGGTCAGGCTGGGCTCGGCAGACAGCGTAGGGAGACCGTCTGCTGCGGTCCTCTTCAACCATGAATTGTAGGTTACAGACATGCTATATTCGCATGAGTATGTGTGCAGCATATACCAGTCATAATCATGTCTGTATTTGTTTACATAACATATAAATATACATTAATATAAGCATATTGTGCATATTGGAGATGGAGAGAGAGCAAGAGAGAGGGGGATTCGAACACCCCTCATGCCCCGGGGAAGAAGAATAAAAACAGAGACGAAAGACGGATGGAAAGGAGAGGGGAGGGAGGAGGTGAAGGCTCTTTCAGGTGCATGAGTCCTACTTTCCAGGCTCAGCTTCTGGAGGGCAAGGCCTCAAAGGCTCCGACACATCCGAGCCTGCCACCTCGACACTCGGCCACCGGCAGCGGGGAGTTCAGGAGCTTTAGGATGCAGTCGCTGAGTTTGAGAAGTGTGGATATGATAGTTATGACCATAGACCATAGATCCTTTTGGAGTTTGGGGTGCAGACCCAGGGTCGTGAGACTCGAGAGTTCTGGTTTTAGCGCTTGCGCTGGACCTCGACCTTTGATTTGCAACCGCCAAGGGATCTCTGGGCCCGGCATAGTGGAGTCCGGCACCTCCGAGAAGCTTGGCTTGCAAAAGCCTTCAAGGTCAAGGAGTTAGAATTGAGATTTGTGCGGGGTTGCCGAATGGCAAACACGGCCCTGAATGCCATACCCACTATACGTGTTGTTGGTGCAAAGGTCGCATTGCATTGCAGAACACCTTCTGATGTTTCTAAAAGTGTTGGAGAGCAGAGTCTCAAGCAGTTTCATGCCGTGGCAGAACATGCACTCCCGGCAAAGAAACTGAAAGATGATGCCGAGGAAGCCGACCAGCAACACCTCTGCAGCAACACCGCGTGATGGGCGCATGCAGTCGCGGAGCAAGCGACTCTCCCTAGGCCGGAAGCGGGAAGGGTCAGAAAGCATGATCTGATTATTTCAGCAGGCTTCACATCATGTTTCCCGTAGATGCTCACTTGGAGACACTGGCACCCTTGGAGGCGACTTCACGCGGCTTGAATCCATAGGAGAGTGAGGTCATGCAGCTTCGCACCCACCCTACAGCCGAAGGTTCTTCTGCTGGCCCTCTATTCACATCGCTCTCCCAGCCTGAATATCGATCGTCGCTCTCCCAGCCTGAATATCGATCAATGACGTCTGGGTGTAGGGTTTAGGCTAGCGGCCAGCGCCAGAGGCAGCAAAGAGCCTCCAGCCGCTGGCGCGCCTCGCACTCACTCGGCGCAAGCTCCTGCAGGATCCATCTCTATGGCTAAGTTTTTGGCTTCGCAGCGACTCACCTGAAAGTTAGTATCTGGGATGCAACTGAGAATCTCGGCCAGATGACGGGATCGAACAAGTCGGAATGTGCTAGTTTGGCCGCGAAAAGCCAAGAAGCAGGAGATTTTAGACCCCGGGAAACCGCTGGCGAGCAGTGTTGTTGTCACTCCCGACTCCCAAACACCTGGCTTCCCACCAGAAAAGCACCAGACAGAGCGATGAACGAACTCACAGCCGACCACCCAGAAATGCGCTGTCTTCGTCCTTCCGAAGCGCTGCGACCGTGGACGTGCCAGTGATCCTGCGCAGCCTCCTGTCCCGCGGCCTCCTGTCCAGTGCCTCGGACTGCCTCGGGGTAGAGCATGTACTTATGGCTTCGACATGGAAGCCATAAACTCTCAAGTGTTTTTAAGTAAATCGAGGGACCTGGGCAGGCAAAGCACGCCCCCGGCCATGTGCAACAGCACTGAAATTCCTCGCGGAAACCCAGAGCTCGTGAACCAAATCCCCAGCTGCACATCCAAAGGCCGACCGCACAGCTCACCCTTCTCTGCAGAGCTGGGCCGCAGTTCGGATCTCGAGGCCGGGATGGATTGCTCGTTTCCACAATGTGAGTCCGTCCTCTCTTCTGTAAACGGTACATTGGCATCTTGGTTTTGCTGTACATTTCGAGTACCGTGCTCAGCCTCTTCAGGCAACGACCACGCAGAAAGCGCGCCGTACCGACGAGCGAGCGACATGAGTTTACGTGGTTCAGAAACACACGAATTGAACCAAATGGACTTACGTGTCGCTGGGCCCTCCTTCTTCAGTCAAGTGCCGTGTTTTCCGGCAGGCCATTCACAATTGGCTCGCAAGCTGCTTGGACCGCTACGAAGCTGGCATCATAGATGCGGCGACCGTCTTTTAAGCACTCTCCGCACTTCGCTTGTTTGTTGCATCATGGCTCGGCATGTTGCTTTGTAAATCTGTTCATGATCGCAGCGAGGAGGAGCCTTGTGATACGAGCAGATACGTAGATGGTAAAAAGTCCGACGGACGACCCAGAAGATATCTCCCCCTGGCATTCTTCTTGAATCTTCTTGACTCTGAACTGCAGAGGTTTCACCAACCTTGCTGACTCGAGCCCTGCACCTTCAATTCTATGGCGATTCTGGGCTGTCTTTGCACAGTGAGGTGCTATGCCCAGCCTTCGAATCCGTTGCGTGCTGCGGGTGGAGTGCAGTGGAGCAGCAGCTGCAGCATACAGCAGCGCTTCTTGGCAAAGAAGACTCCACAGGGCGAGGCATTTCAGCATAATCCGAGGAGTACTGCAAACCTCTCAGAACTCTACGAGCTTTGGGCAAGTCTAGGCGGGGTTCGTTGTGGGATCCTAGCTCTTAGAGCACTCGAGCCGACACGGCTTACACCCATCTCCTGTACACTCTGGGAGAAACCTAGGTTTCTCTGATGTAAAATTTTGCCAGATATCTACCATCGCATTATCAGCACGCCCAATGCTGGCACAAAAGGTTGCGACGAACTTGTGTCAAACCCTGACTTCCTGCCAAGCGAACACATCAGGTTTCTTCCACCCTTGGGCCGGAGAGACTGCTTTGGCATGGAGCTTCGGCACTTCAGTGAATGTGTCAAGAAAGCAGCGACTGGCATAGTTGAACTTTCCTTCGTGTCAGTGGCATGCATGTGAACTTACTTGCACAGAAATGCAGGAGGCAAAAAGGGACTGAAATCAGCAGTGCAAGAGGCAAAGAACGACGGCGCAGAATTCAAGCTTAAGTCAATGAGTTGGCTGAACATACTGGGTCTTCGCAGCCTGTTTGTATTCTGTATCTGGTCCAGAAACAGTTGGCCACAAACTTCGTCGCCGACAGAGTGCTTGGGACCAAGCAGGCCCTGCCTCGCTGGCGATTATGGCGGATCTGCGTCGGTGGTTGTTTGACGTACTCCGTGCAGCTATGAAGCAACAACGTGTCAGCAGACTTCCGCAATCACTGCTGTTTGTACTATGCTTAACATGGTGCCCATGTCTGTTGGAAGTGCGATTGTTTTATGTAGGTTTCTGGCCCTGCCATCATTTCTTATACTGAGCTTGCCATCTGTTTCTGGTATTCCTCAGGCAAGTCCTGGTATTGCAGGTTTATGTGATTGCCCGAGACAATCGGTACATTGCTATGACTATGACAAACACTGCGTTAGCTGTTGCTAACGTTCGAATGGAATATCTTTACCTGCATGCTACTGTTTCAAAGATCCTTTGTGTCGGAAGAGTTTGCGACCGAAATTCTTCTTAGCAACCGTACCGCCCACATACACGAACCACACAGGAACGTCCTGGGACTGCGCACCGCGGCTGGCAGTTTGGGACGTCTGTGTCGCGAGTGTAAGTGCCGGTGGCCGGGCCTTCCCTGCTTAGGTCACTTCTAAATTATACCCCATGCTACCACTCCACAGCTTGGGTACGCTGTCATGTTGAGGCCCGTACCTCCCGTTCCCAATGCGGCAGTCAGTAGGGCTTGCAAGCACACTTTTCGGTCCTACAGGTTCCCTTTCTGACTTGTTTCCGAGGTAGGGAACATTGCCCAGAATGGTTTCAATCGCGGCTACAGCGGGCGTCATGGATCCAAATTGGGACGAGGCCAGTTGCCACAGGGCCGTCGCCACACTTCGATCGAAGTCCCACACATCCCCGAGAATGCACAACAGATTTGCATAGAAGCCAAAATACTCCCGTTGTCCCTGACACAACATCACAGCGGTGGGCTGTTTGGTCGAAGAACAGTCGGCGCAAGAGCACATCCTCGGAGACATAGCAAGCAGCACCATTATTAATTATTATCATCATCACATCATCGCAATGACAGCCCTGGTTACGAAGCAGAAAATCATGTTTAACGAGATGTTCGTGACAAAGAAGCACGGTGTAAACAGAACAATAGCCAAGCCACCGATATGAACGACATTCAACTTCGTGATCGTGATCAAACATTTATTGCCGTAAGTGGCATCGTCGTTCCGTGCCATTGCCATCAACTGCAGCAACATGGCTATTCGTTAGCGCGCTTGCGTCTAGATTCGGGACCTGATGACCATATCATCATCAGCCGGACGGTTCTAGTTGCAGTAACTATGCCAACAACCGCAATAGCAACGCTGATGGTTTTGATTCGTGCAACGGGAAATCGAGCATGATCCTTGCTAAACTTGTGAGAACAGACAAACAGCCCTAGCAACAGAGAACGCAGGCAGTTACTTTGCAGAAGAGCCAGCCTTTGCCTTGCGCTTCTGCGGGCGTCGCGAGCCCAAGGCAATCTTCCTGGCAGGCAGGTGTGTTGCTGGAGGTTCAAGGCTTAGGGTTCAGGGTTCACGATTGTGGCTTAGGGATCAGTTGCCAGCGCACGCACGTACGAACCAAGCACAACTACATGAAACTGGATGGGACAGAACACAGCATGTCAGTGTCATGCACAGCATGGCAACCTGTGGGCATAGAGGCGAGGTGGCCTCAGTCTTTTCTGTCACCGCTTCAGAGGCTCCAGCTACCACGCAGAGGGGTCAATTTTCGACCGGCCGTGTCAAAGACACGGAGCGGATCGGCCCACGCGTTGTTGCTTTCGCGTGCAAAAGTTCGAAGTATGCTTAACTAGCAAAGTTTACAAAATGCATGGCTGATAAAGTGCACTGGAACTAGCATCTTGACTCCTGATCATGCAGGCACAAGGCTACTGCAAGTTGAGCCAGTGCAGTGCAACAAACTGGCAACAACAGAGTGACGACAACTGCAACAGCCGGAGCAAGAACCCAAGCCAACACAGCTCTGCAACTACAACATCAATATGAACAAATCAACAAAAGCCGCAAGATAAAGCAACGACGACAGCAACAGCAGCCAATACAATAACACTAGACTAGTACGAATAGCAGCCCTCGATGCCATGTTCTGCTGCTGCGAAGCAGCGGATGAGCAGAACGTCAGCCTCAAGTTGACTGATGAGCAGTGCCAAGCACTGCCAGATCCAAGGACTGCTCTGAGACCTTGAGACAACCACGTTCTCGTCGACTTAGCTTGGGAAAACAGTCCAGCCAATCTTCCAATCATCTGAGCCATATTTTGACCTCACAGCTCTTGCGCAAGTCTGGGGTCATCTTGCGCACGAGGACGGCACGAGCTCTACAAGATCAAGCTACCACCGTTGATGCCATGTACGCCCTTGGCTTGGAGCTTCATGCAAGCTTGTTGTTTGGTCCCTACCTACCTAGTTGATCAACCTTTAGAGAGTTGAAGCTGCCGGCATTGAAGTTGAAAGTCCAAGTAATGGTCACATTACTCAAGTCACACCTTGTCGGCAAGCCGCATTGAAATCTGAACCGCTCCGCTCTGCCCCCAGCAAAACCAGGGAGGCCATCTTTTGAAACAGAGTGCTCCGCTGTGCGAGTGTGAGAACCGAAAGGACCAAACGATGATGGCAGTAGTAACTTGTCGTCTCCGCACGTTCCCTGTGTGCATGCCCAGGTTGTGAGCCTCAGCATAGATATACGATCACTGGATCAAGCACGGGCGCCTGGCATCGTGCTGGATGCCACCTGGACCTCATAGCATGTCAGTTGCATGGTTCATTCTGGACTTCCAAAACCGACCTGCAGCTGCTGGTTTTGTCAGTACTTGCAGGGGTCGGTAGTTGGCAGGGAAGGATTCTGCTGCGCTGCGCTGCAAACCTCTGATGGCGGGCACGTTGGGAAAGATCTTCCTTCTTGTCAATAGGCCTGAGTCAGCGGAATCGGAAACTGCCAAGCTCTACGATTACCTAATTAATTAGTTTTCTAAGAAAGAATTGTCCTGGGCTCGACATGATGCACCCGCACTCCTGCAACAGCAGGCTCAGTACACGATCGTCATCCCACAGCAACTTTGTTCTGCCTGTGCACAGGGTTGGAGGTCGTTGCAAAGGTCAGGGATTTGCGATTCTGAAAGATACCGGTCTGAAAGAATTTCTCAAAACGGTGCATGCCGACCGAGGCCACCGACTCTGAGTGCCCACTCGTCCGGAGCGTCAGGGAAGACGGACTAGCAGCAACATGGAATAGTGTGGCAGAGGAGAGGCACTGCTGTTGTGAATGGCAAAGCTCTGACTTCATAATGTGGCTCTACGTGCAGCTGATGTTGAAGTCAAGTTCAGAAAGGGCCTGCAACTGCGTCCAAAATGTGCCGGCTCTGCTTTTGAACTTAAGTGATGCTGCGAAAGTCTTTCTTATCAAACATGGCAGTGCCTTCATTGTGTCTGGCCCGATCTTGCCTCCACTCGTCGCAGATGTAGGACTTTCGACAATTTAAAAAAAGGCGTGGCAAAGCAGTGGTAAAGTGGTGACTCATGTCGCGCAGAGTGTGCTCCGACTGCTGCACTATATCTTGCCGTCGGGGCAGGAGGGGCGAAGAATCCGCACCTTCGATCACCTCGTCGAGATGAACGGCTTCCGTGGCCCAAGCCTAGAGCCTTGCGTTCCAAGACTTAGAGATTCGGCGGGGCTTCAAGGAAAAGTTTCGGTAAGAATGTGATCGACATGTACAAGGGAGTCAAGGGAGCCACAAGGGCTGGCACCAAGTTGTTGTTGCGGAGCTGTGAAATGAATGCTGCCAGTGATGCATATAGCGGATGTAGCGACATGGAACAGGTTCAGGATGCATGTACAGCAACATGCATCTTCTTTGCAGAAGCCACCATAGGCCCTGCGGATGAAACTAAGGAAATGGCTCGGCTAATTACTCGCCGTATTCGGCCCGAAGGCCTGAGTCTGACTCTGCAAAGGCCTCTGGAACGATCCTGAGCTGACTAAGGCTATAATTCGTAAGAGCTATGAAGGGCTATGAAGCTAGGACCGAGGGGATCTTGTGACATTAGGCCGTCAGTCTGGCAGATAGCTCGCCACGTGCATCTTTGCTGCGACTTTATTGGCAGCTACTGCACCACCACCTTGTATCTTGATAAGTTAAGTGTTATGCATACCCGGTTACCCGGCTCTGGGGAACACATCGACATCACGACTTCACCATTCTGAGAAGGGTTGAGTTGGTGGGCTGGGACGAAGCCTGGCAAGCTGAAGTTCAAGGATCTGGCGATGTTTCGATGCTCCAGGAAGAAAGCCGCGGAACAGATCTGCAATGCCTTCTCTCCTTCTAAGCTCAGCGGGAAAATCATTGAGGCAAAATCCTTTATGCTCTTGCTCCGGTAGGATTTGGAGCTGAACCACATAGCTAAAGCACGGGCAACCGTGCTCAAGCCATCGGACTTCATTCACAATGCAGCCAGTTTGCAAACGCGAACATACAGACGTGCTCAGCTACGTGCCCACCTACCTCCCTACCTGCCTACCTGCCTTACACACATACATGGACAAGCATGAACATAAAGGAGGCACCTGCTTCCAAGCATGTGAGATGTCAGAACTGGTCTAAACTAAACCTTCGAGACGCCCGACGGGTCTCCCACGTGCGTGAAGCAAACAGATCATGAAAGCCATGTTTTGCCAAGGACGGGTCAGGCTTCAGCTGCCGGGGGCGTCTCTGCTGCCACAACTAAGCAACGGTTGTTGGGGTTGTTTGCACGGGACTAGCCGTGATGAACATTCGCAGACTACAAGCTAAGAGAGCTACCACATGTGCATGGTGGCCGCAGTGGCCTGGTTCTGCACAAGCCACACTTCGATTAGGTTGTGTTCCTTGCAATCACGTCTCGCCCTACAGCAACAACTAAAGCAGATGACTCTGAGTGCTACAACTAGCATGGCCTGCTCTATGTGCCAAAGCTGTGTCAGCTATACTCTGAGGAAGTGGGCATAACGCTCCATTACAAGAAGCTGCTCGGCTGCAGCCGACTGCGTTCGGGCTTGATTTGTTTCCAGCAGCTGCGAAAAAGTCACCATGAAGCAAGAACATGTATTGTTAGAAGGAGTCACTCCAAGCATCTTCTGCAATCTTTCAACCTGAGTCGGAAACGCATCGAGAAAGAGAGCTGCTGAAGGCATTGCTTCGTTTCACGTAGGCTCACTTCCCCGAAAGCCCTGCACTCAGGCATGGCTGTCTTTGCCCCTGGATAGCCGAGCTCGATCCGACTGGGCTAATGGCAAGGCCCTCTTTGGGACTTGAGCGAGGGTACGCGCAGATCGATGCAGCACACAGAAGACGCCTTCAAATCGAAGCAAGATCTTATTGACCTTGTCCTCAAACGCTATGCCACCCAGGGCCTCCACATCCCCTTCAAGATCCCCGAGCCGAGGAAGTTTCTGGTACTGCTTGCACAACCTAGGGTCCACACTGCTATGGGCACTGCCCAATTGGTATGTCGTTCGCATGCTGGCTGCTAGAAGCCTGCGTGAGGGCTACAGGTGCTACTAGTTTACCACGCGTAGGGAGGATCTTGTTGTTACTGTATGTCGCGAGCTGATGTTCTTTCCAACAGTATTGGCCAGTTAGCAGGTTACCGCAAACCAAGCCAACCGCGGCGAAAGGGCCGCCACTGTAACCTGCAGCAATGGCGACAAGCATTCAACGTGTGGTACGAGATAGATCTTTTCTCGTGCCCTGTAGAGCCGACTGGTCTCACAAGAGGTGGAATATCGAGAAGCCGCAGGAGAGAGTTGGCATCCACGATCGCCGCTGAGCTCAAACTTCCAAGGTCTCCAAGTCAGGTGGCATTGAAGAAATGACGGGGTTGGGTTTTGCAGATTCCAACATGCATGGGTGGCTGCATTGCCAGCTGCACTGCTGCTTCTGCACAGCAGCTTAGCAGCTCTCTTGAGGTCTGTGTTCTGTAGCGGTTCTGCTCGAGTGCTCCCTAGTGGCATGCTTGCCACCGTTCGGTTTGTTCTCATACAGAGGAACTGGAAGCCAAAAGCTGATTAAGACTCTGCGTAGCTCGTAAGACAAAGCGTGCCGACTGCGAAGAGAGGCATCCTGGAAGTCAATGGCACGCGAGGCACAGGGGCTTCAGGTAATTTCGGGATCTGCCAGTGACTGGGACCCGAATGGAGAGGCCTTGATGAAAGGCTGCGAACCAGCCCCGTTCCGTTCTTGCCTTGAACTGGTGCCAAAATTGGAGCCCCTGGACAGGACCTCCGTGGGTACTCATCGAGGAGGTACAAAATTCCACGCAGAGCGTGGAATTCACCATCCTGCACTATTCAAGCCACTAGGGGCCTGCTGAGGCACAAACATTGTTACGACGTTCTGCTTTCCCCGGCCCGGCGACTGCATCTGAAAGCAAGTACTAACTGCTGCAGCGAAGATGTGAAAGCCTTTCTTAGCTCAGCTTTGTGCCACTACCTTTGC